GCTGTATTTTGATGTCTGACAGAGACATTATAATGCTATTACAAAAAGTAATAAAAACTGATATAGTTGACATTTTTGGGAAAAGGTAGAAATTAGGGACGAAACATGTGTTTTGTATGAGAAGAGAACTTATATCATAAACAGTGCTAACCAGAGAGTCTAAAAGAAAGTTGCTAACCAGCGTATGTTAATAATTGTTAAAGTTGGGATTCGGGAACAGAAGTAAGCTAAATTTAACCATATAATTGTATTATTGTATTATGTCCTTGTAATTTGTAATGTCTTGCAATTTATAGATCGAATAAAAACGTTTATACGATACCAAATCACCAACTTATCGGTTCGGTCTAAACGTGGCGAATCAATAGCCGTTTTGCTCGAAGATGGCGGCTTCGCCAAATAAGATGAGAATGACTGAATCCATGGAAAATGATAATGTCAACATATCCCAGCGTGAGGAGAGTGACATAACTTTAACTTTGGCAGAAAAGAATCGTACAGGAATATCTGGGAAATTAGATGATATATCTGCGTTGGGAAATAAACAAACCAAGCCTGTTGTTAATGAACAAAAAGGAATTGAAGTGGAACTTCAAGGAGAAAACATTGAAAACGAAAAATGTCATAATGGTATGAAAGTTTATATAATAAGTGCAATGAAATTCGCAATTTCATTGGTTAGTTGGCGTTCAGAATAAGAAAATCCCGCACGAAAAGTTACAATTGTTCCATTGTATTTATTTTATAAAACAAATACTAAATAGTTTCTCGACTTTCAGAAAGCGTAAGAAAAACGCTCGCCTACGACTCGTACTTTTTCACGCTTTCGAAAAGTCTCGCGATATCCCGAGTGGAGTTGTTATAAGTAGAGTAAGTAAGTGATAAACAACCTTTCTTAAGTAGGCTTTACTTAACACTAACAAAAATTACAAAATGGCTTCCAATGTATAACTACATAATACTAGGCCTGGTTTCTAAGTAAAATTACAATAATACTTTATGTAAACCTGATATAAATTCACTACATTCTCCCCTACTTAATTTTAAAAGTAACAATCTAAATGTTTAACTAAATATATAAAATATAAGTACCTAAAAGTTAAACTACAGTTAATATAATATAAAGAATCGTTCATGATATAAGTTTATATAACTATATGTATTTATATAGCCACGTTTTATTCATATCAACACTAGTTCCTCTAGTTCGAGTATTATACATAAACAAGACGGTCTGGTGACGTTGTAATATCTGGGGGTCTGATGTTGGTTCTTCTGTACTCGCATTGTTCACTTCAGGCACTCTGTTAGCGTCTGCGGTGGCAGGTGGCGAATCCAGGGCATCTTTGTTGGTTTCTGTCGTAACCCGTGGCTGTTGATGGGATGACTCGTGCGAGATCTCTGTCGTTCCGTCGACTTGGGGGGCGAGATACTTGATGGCTACAGTAATTTCTCTTCCATCCGGAAATCTAACGTGTGCATACTGAGGATTTGCTTCGATCAACTCCAGTTCGTCTACTAAGGGATCAAATTTGGATTTTCTTACTTGGCGCTTCAATAAAACTAGGCCAGGAGTGTTAACCATGTTGGTACAGAAGTTCCACTGGTCGATCGACGTTGATGGATGAAGAGGCGCTCGTGTGGGGTGACATTGGTTGCGGTGCACAACAACGATCTGATAGAATGTAAAGCGTCATGCAAGACGTCTTGCCAATAGCTGGCAGGAAGATCTCGTGTCTTGAGCGCGAGTATAACAGCCTTCCATAAAGTACCATTCAATCGTTCCACTTGTCCGTTTCCACCAGGGTTATATGGCGTAGTTCGGCTCGATGAGATTCCTTTCTGAAACAGAAAATCTTTAAGTTTTGCACTCATAAAACCTGAACCTCTGTTCGTGTGGATGTACATCGGCATACCGAAGATGGAAAACAACTGACTAAGGCACTCTATAATACTTTCTGCGCTGACGTCTTTGCATGGAAAGGCAAATGGGAATCTTGAATATTCATCTATTATGGTAAGCATGAACTTGTTCTGATTATTCGTTGGTAAAGGTCCTTTAAAATCCAAGCTGAGTCGTTCAAAAGGTTGAGTAGCCTTTACTAGTTGGGATGGTTTGGGATGGTAATACTGAGGTTTACATTCTCTGCATGCCTTGCACGACTGCGTCATACGTTTGATCTCTTCGATTGAGAACGGGAGGTTGCGGCTTTTGACAAAGTGTGCCATACGAGTTATTCCAGGATGACACAGAGACTGATGAAGCTCGGCCAACTTATCTATGGTAAGGCTCATTGCTCTCACCCTCGAAAAGGTATCAGCTGGAACATTTTCTTCCCCGGCTCTGTAAACTATGTCGAAATCGTAAGTAGACAGTTCCAGTCTCCATCTCATAATCTTATCGTTCTTTATCTTGCTTCTACGATTCGTGTCGAACATATACGCTACCGACTTCTGGTCGGTGATCAGGGTGAAATGCTTTCCTGTTAAATAGTGTCTCCATTTTCTCACAGCTTCTACAATAGCGGCAGCTTCTTTCTCAACTGATGAATGCTTTAATTCCGAGCCACTCAATATTCTCGAAAAGAATGCAACTGGTCGACGACCGTTTTGATTCAAAGTTGCCGAAAGGGCAAACTCTGACGCATCTGTTTCCACTTGAAATGGCTGTGCTTTATCCACCGCTTGAACTACTGACTTTTCTACGTCTAGTTTTAAAGAATTGAATGACTTCAAAGCATCACCAGCTAGGGGAAATGTCGCAATGTGCGCCAATGGTCTCACTTTTGTAGCAAAGTCTTTTATCCACTGCGAGTAGTAAGAGAAGAGCCCTACCGCTCGTTTCTGTGCTTTCCGATCTCTGGGGACAGGTAATTCTCGAAGTGGGCTCAACCTTTCAGGATCAGGTTTTATTTCTCCGTTGTTAACCACACTGCCAAGAATACTAATGGTTGTCGTTGAGAATATGCACTTTTCTTGATTAAATGTCAAATTTCTTCTCTTTGCGGCATTTAGGAAACTTTCAAGATTTCTGTCGTGATGAGCTTGATCATGACCACAAATTGTGATATTGTCGAGGTACGCAATGGTGTCTTCCAAAGATTCATCCGTTATAAAATTATCCATTGTTCTTTGGAATGCTGCAGCACCATTCGTCACTCCAAATGGCACTCTCCGGAATTGATACAAACGTTGATTGGCTTCGAATGCGGTATATTTCTTCTCTTCTTCTCTAATTGGAACTTGATGATATGCACTTTTCAGATCAATGGTGCTGAATACTTTATACTGAGCAATCCTAGTGACGGTGTCATCTATCCTAGGCAATGGATATGCATCCAGCTGAGTGAATCGATTGATTGTTTGCGAATAATCAATCACCAGCCTCTTCCTATGCCTTTCGTTCCGAGTCACGACGACTTGAGCTCTCCACGGTGAATCACCGGAATGAAGGTATCATAGATACCTTCTTCTAAGAGTTTTTGCACTTCAATTGTAATAAACTCTCTATCTTCACAGCTGTATCTCCTAGATTTGGTAGCTACTGGTTTGCAATCGGCTGTTAGGTACTGAAACAAGGATGGGGTTTCCGTCTTCAAAGATGTCAAGCCACATACTTTCAAGGGTGGGGCAGCTCCGCCATAGTGGATTGTTACACTTTCGTGTTGTGCTTGCCAATTCTGTCCAAGAATAATATCAGTACACAATTTGGGCAGGATATACAGCTTAACATTGGGGTATATCCTACCTTTCAAAGTTATATCAGTGTAACAATACCCCTGCATATTTGTGGAAAATGTTCAAGATGCCATAGTAACTTTTTCATGGGTCTGATGTACCACGCTTGGCATTTTTGCACGCTAAATTGAACAATTAGAATGTGCCGGGTTTTATTCGCGGCGCGCGACATTTTCTGAAGAGTGGTAATGAATTTGTCGAGCGGAGAATTCCTTATATTCGGCTATGTTTTTCCGGAGCGCTTTCTTCGTGAGGTGTTTGGGGGTATAATAGTGTTATAGAGGGTAACAAGAGGTTTATTTTGATATCAATATTGCTATGGTAACGGCAAATGTTTTGCTTCAAGCGAGCTTCTTGTTAGAGGCATTTAGCGCAAATGGCGTCGTGCGGAAATTAAGTTTCAACAACCGCATATTCGGCTTGTATAGCATTCTTTGTGTGAGGTTACTTTTGTACGTTTTTGGTATATTTTACAAGCCAAGGAACCAATCTAAAATCGTATGTTTTTTTTTGTGACAAAAATGAGCTAGGAAACTCAGAATCATGCCTTTTAGAAAGGCATCTCATTCCCGTAGATTCAATGTTGGGGAATATATGCGCAACAAAAGACTTGCATAGCAAGCTGTGGAGACTAAGCAAAAAAAAGAAAAATGCGTTTCCCAGAAGCTGAAACGTATAGATCATAAGATAAGAAACGTTTATGCGTTTGTTTTTATAGGAGCGATTGCAGAATACCCGTCCATTTCTGAAGTTATGCTACAAATATTCGCGGCTACGCGGCTACGCAGTGAGTTTTACGAGAACGAGGCAATGGATTGGTTACGTAATCACTGATGTAGATATGTTTTGAAGTGGCTACGCGGCTACGCAGTGAGTTTTACGAGAACGAGGCAATGGATTGATTACGTAATCACTGATGTAAATATGTTTTGAAGTGGCTACGCGGCTACGCGGCTACGCAGTGAGTTTTACGAGAACGAGGCAATGGATTGATTACGTAATCACTGATGTAAATATGTTTTGAAGTGGCTACGCGGTGAGTTTTACGAGAACGAGGCAATGGATTGATTACGTAATCACTGATGTAAATATGTTTTGAAGTGGCTACGCGGCTACGCGGCTACGCAGTGAGTTTTACGAGAACGAGGCAATTATGAGTGTTTTACCGTTTTTTGAAAGAAGTTACGCGACATTGATATAATTTCGTTAGTGTTATGTGATTTTAATGCGCTACATTTTTAATTATATACTACAGTATTTAGTTATAACTGTTCTTGCAAAATAGCATTTTGGCGGAGAAGGATGTCCTTAATGTTGCTTGTGATCGCCTTGTGAATAGGAAGAGCAAACTTGGAGGCGTATTCGTTTGCGTTGCAAAGATCAGAACAGGGCCAGGTGGCAAAGGTGTTTGGTCGGCGTTTGACAAATGCTTTAATGACCTGGGGTCTTCTGGCGACACGGGCAGCGATAACGGAGCCAAAGTTTGGCTTGAGTTGCTCAACGGCATTACTATATTCTTCCTTAGTTGATGCACGGAGAAAACGAGGGGTAGATTGACGAAAGGCACGATAAGTAACAACGGGTCCAGGGAAAAGAAGAATAGCCGTTTTGATATCCGCCACGGTGGGTTGAGGTCTTGCAGCATCACAAACATTGTGAGTGATTGTCTTAATGAACTATAAAAAATGAAATATATTTAAAAATTAATGTTCATGTAATTGGAATAGTATTGATGTTGTGTACGATCACAGTAGTTTCAATAACGTAATATTTATAATTCATGCATGTGTATACAACTTACTTCGCATAACATGTGCTTCTGCATTTCAAGGTGGCGAACGTATCTTACAGCATATTGTAAGATGTTGAGCGGAATTGTGGTGGGCATTGGGTTTTCAACATGACCAGACAGCACGTTGTTGAGGGCGACCGTGAACACGTGAAGGGCAGCAGCGAGTCGAGGAATCAAGTCGAGTTGCTTGGATTTTGGAGGGACAAATGAGCCGTCTTGAATAGCTTCGTTCACTTCTGCGATAAAATCATCTTTCTGGGATTTTAACAACTGTTTCGCGTCTTCGTCGAAAGTATAAGGGCCGGTTTGACTTTGTTGGCAGTCAATAATGTACTGAAATGTTTGTTTAAGCATGTCGTCTGGTTCGGTAGATAGGTAGTCTCGGGCAGTTCCTACTTCGACTGAAGTTGGACAAAGAACTCTAGGGACAGCGACTAGAAAGCGGTCGATTAAACCTTGGCCATTGTCCATTCTTGCGATTAGTTTTGCGGCATTTGGCATCTGAGTACAACCCCAGGATGGAGAAGGGAGTGTTTGCATGGATAAGTCGCGTCTGTTCGGTTGAATAGTTGTAGCTGCTAGATTCCCGAAAACAGCTTACACAAAAGCATCGCATCACCGCTTGCGTTCTCGTCATCATTTTTCAATAACTTGTTGAGTACATCGTAAATCTCCGGTGACACTAAAAATGCACCCTCTTTTGTTGCCAAATGCTTGACTAGACCAGAAGATGTTGTCCTGTCAACGAGAAATGTCGAATTGTCATCTGCCATGTGTTCAAGACAACCATGTTGTATTGCAGATGATTTTCCGGTCCCTGGATAGCCAACAATCATCATATATATGTTCATCGGTTGCTCGTGGGTCATCGTTTCAACGGTCCACCCGTTTTTAGCTGAGAGAAACGAAGTTGTGGTTAGCAAGGCGGGCGCCAGGTAGCCGATAGAGCTGTTTAGGGAAACTGCTTTGTGGCGAAGAAACAAGGCGATATCCTCCGGAAAAATTTCTTCGAACCGAAAGGGAACGTCGGATATTCTTTTGTGCAACTGTGTCCAAGTTGTTTCATGTTGCCTTGCAACTTTAGTCAAAGGATTGGATGTAGCCATCGCTCAATTTCAAAGTTTAGAAGAATTAGGTATAAAAGACTATATCAGTATATGTTTAGCTGTCGAATGCCTGTGCATATGTGATATGCCTTGTGAGAGAATCAGGCCTTTGTGACTTGAGAGATGATAGAATAGTATAAAATTACAAAAGGCTAACCGAATAATTGTCGGCGCTATGTTCCATTGACGGTGAAATTCCAACGTTTTTGATTGGACTATAAGTCTGGCGTGGGATGGAACAGTGTCGTGATAATGCAAATGATATTCTTTGGTGCAATTGTGTCGAAAATGTTTCATGTTGCCTTTTGACTTTGTTTAGAGAATTTGATGTAGCCATGCATTGCACAATTTTAAATTTAGAAGTTTAAATGGTCTTAATTTCGAGTGAAAATACACACATTTCAAATTAAAGGCAGGAACAGTTGATGGAAATTAAAGTAAAAAGCAAATTCCGAATAAACAAGACATCTTGAGAATCAAAATATAATTCAAACAAGACACAGATTAAGACTGTAAAGTTTCGACTTTATTACAAAGTCATCTTCAGACAGAATGAAATACAATACTTTACAACGCATATATATACAACACAGAGAGAGAGAGCGCACGTGTCAATCCAGCATGTAGGCGAAAGGCCGGTAAACCAAGCAGAGCGAAACATGATAAAGTTGTGAATAGATTTTCAGGACCTATAGTTGACTCATTTTTCCATCAAATCTTCCTGGCTTGAATTTGAAGTGTGTGCATGTAATTCCGCTCGAAATTAAGACCCTTTAAACCTCTAGAATTAACCTGCAAAGAGTGAAGTGCCAAAAATCATAATTAAAGTTTAGAAGGCTATATCGGTATAATTATATATGTATATGTTAAGCTTTCTGAGGTGAAAGAATAGTATAAAATTACAAAAGGCCAACCGAACTAAATGTCCGCAATATGTTCCATTGACGCTGAAATTCCAACGTTTTTGATTGGATGAAATCTGGCGTGGGTGACGTTGTGATTTTGAATCTGTTAAATAAATTAAATTTCGTGTTTTTGACTTTTTGGTATCGAGTTGTTGCAGATTATTTTCCTGATATTGTCTATTTCAAATCAAACTCTGTGTGCGCATTTTGATAAACGTTTTAATTTAGTAATGGATAAGGGAGTGCAAGTTTCATGTAAATTTGGTAAAACGGCACAAAAAAATTGCACCTCGCAAACTATATCGTCCTATTTTGGCATGAAAGACGCTGTATCACAATGTGGTGGCGAAGATAGCAGTTATGGTCGAAGTGAGAAGACGACAAAATGGACGTACGATCGGTTAAAGGACGAGGTGTTATTTGATAAAGAAAACGTTATACGTTGGTGCATGGACGAGGGATTGATTGCACATGAAAGAGTGTGTGGCCATTGCAACAATAGCATGAGACTAGTGAAATGCGCCGACAGATCTGACGGATACAAGTGGGAATGTCGAAAACAAGTTGCTGGTAAGAGACATAAGGTTGAATTATCAATCCGAAAAGGTAGTTGGTTTGAGAAGAGCAACATGACTTTGGAGGAAGTAATCAAGTTCACGTATTGGTGGTGTGATGTAATCAAGAGCAAATCCGTCACGAGTTAAACGTTGCGACAAATACAGCAGTTCGACTGGGACAGTTTCTGCGCGAGACATGTGAAGTGAACTATTAGAGCGGAGGAAAAGATTGGCGGGCCTGGTAAAATTGTGCAAATAGACGAAAGTAAGTTCGGAAAAAGAAAGTACCATAGGGGACACCATGTTGAGGGACAGTGGGTTTTTGGCGGAATTGAGGAGGACTCGCGACGTAGTTTTATGGCAGCAGTAGACAAACGAGATGAAGCAACGCTACTTACGTTAATCGAAAGATATATAGAAAAGGGGACAATTATCGTTTCAGACTGCTGGAAAGCCTACGTAAATTTAGAGAAGCACGGCTATGAGCATCGACTAGTGAATCACTCAAAGGAATTTGTGAACAGTGAAGGGTTTCACACAAATAAAATCGAGGGCACTGGCGGAAGCCAAGTGTAAACTGCCATGTTTCGGTGTGAGAAAGATAGCGTTCTCCTCGCACTTGGCCGAATTTCTGTGGCGATATGAAAACAAGAGCGAAGATCTATTTTCAACGTTTCTTAATGATGTTAAAAAAATCTACGGACAATTGTAACACCGCCACTACCTGGGATAATGTAATGTAGTCTGAATATTTAGGTAAATATTATAATATAGTGTTGTTTTTGTTAGCTTTCTTAAATGTCAATTTTTATAATAAATTAAAGTTTAATTACATGATGAATATAAAGCTACTTGTGATTTTTTTTATCTGTTTCGTTTATATTATAGTTAGTTATTTTTGCGGCTGTTTGATAATCACGAATATAATCCGTTTACGAGACGTCGCGCGTGTAATTTACAGTCGGCGACTGCGTATCCGCGTAGCCACGTAAAATATGGCTACGCAGTGACAGAAGTCTAGTGGACGGGTATTCTGCAATCTAGCCTTTTTATATATTAAACTCGTATATTTCGTGTTTGACTTGCCATCTTTCGTGTATATGACATGGACTTGCGGCTATAAACCTGATCGACTTAAATTTCCATACCGATTTTCTATATTTCTGGATCATTTTGCCTTTTTAACTTAAGCCTATTGTATGTTAATACAATTGATAAATTTGTTATATGCATATATTTTTCCTAGTTTGCTAAAATTTGTTGAAAACTTGACATTACTCCACATTGTGAGATGAACTCTCAAAAACCTAAATTTATGATCTTTAACTCACTGAGCTTCAATGCTACTAATATATGTTTTTTATTACCTGTTTAACCCAGATGATTTTAGTTGTCAGTTGGGAAGCCCTGCAGTGTAATGGTTCACTAAAAATTAGTCAATATTTATTGTATATTTCATTTCAATATTTAACTCATTAGGCTTTAATGCAGTAAATGCACTCACATGCAATGTATACCCTGCTTATCTAATGCCAGAATGATTGTACTTGTTCTACTGAGAAAGCTCTTTTTCAGTTTAGTGGTTAACTAAAAAATCTTACTAGTGCAACATCTAAGTGCAACATACTAAACAAATCCCAGATGATTATATTTCTCAGTAAGGTTACTCTGTAGCTACATAGGAGTTAATTTATAATTAACAGAATCGAATATTTCTGAAAGATTAGATAAGGGCCTTTAGTGGGCTTACAAATTTAGATTTTAAAAAGGATTTGTGGCAACTTTTTAGCAAATGAATATCTGGGCATGTCTTTGTCAACACCAAAATCTACATAACAATATCTCACAAATATATTAATATGCTTAATTATTATTATTATTATTATTATTATTATTATTATTATTAAAAAATACACATAAAGTAGCTTAGACAGCTAAATTACAATGTGATTTACAGGTTCATAAAAATAATTTAAGAAATATTACATTTTAGAATTACAATAATTCATACTCTAATCTATATTACAAAGCTAGAAGTAAATTACAAAAGCTATATTTTAAATATTAAGAAACTAATAAAATAGTTAAGAATCATCAATTTTGAGATTGTACTTACGAATCGCATATACTAGAGGACTATTTCTAAAGCGCTCTGTTCTGCATTTAAAATTGTAAATTTTATTTACATTAAGTCTCGTGTCTCTCTCCCGTAATTGACCTACAGTTGGTGGTAGCAAATCATTGAGTTTATGTGAAGGGTCCTTTATATCCTTTATCAAGTTTATGCACATTAACTCTCTTCGACTTTCCAAAGTTTTAATACCACATTCAGTTAATGCTTGTTCATAATTCTTTTCCGGGCATATAATTTTCATTGCACGCTTTTGAATTCTCTCTATATTAATAGCTTGTGATTGTAAAATCAAAATATGCAAGGATAGCTCAAATAGTGTTATAAATTAATGGTGTTTGACATGTGAATTAATAATTGATAATTGATTGCAGAATTGATATAAGTTTTAATGACTGGTAGTAATGTTTATCATGATTCATTCTATTTATGGCATGTATCATACTCCAAATTGATGCATAAAACAAATACCCTGTCATGATTGTGATATTCTTTCTTATTAATGTCCAATATATTTTATTAATATATTTGACTATGTAAACATACACAATAGTGTATATGAAGAATTTTACTATAAAGCAGAAATATTTAGCACTGTTATTAGTTTTGATTATTGTTCTGATTAGTTGCAATGTCTCAAATGTATTTACAATATAACAACACTATATAAGTGGGCTTTAACCAAATAATGTACAAATGTAAAATATACAGTGTCATTAACATACTAACTCGGTATATAAGCACACTGGAAAATGCTAATACATCTTAATAACAACTCTGAACAATGTTGGCAGCA